CTGTGTAGTCTGGTCGATGTTTACCAACGTTTCAGAGGTCATACTGCCTCCGTCATCAGGGCTACACAGCGCAACAACCCAGAAGACAGAAATTTTCATACTCACCGCCAAATATAATGGTACAGAGTATCCCTTCAGCAGCTGACAGTTGTTCAGCTTGTCAGGAAATCACATTCTTTTATGGAATCCAAAGTTTAATTATGATGTTCACGAAAGCCTGTCACTGCCACAATAATAACTTATGCCCAATTTTTATGCTTTCATCTATGACTAGGTCTCCCAAGTGGACTTTGCCCGCTAGATTTTCAAACCGAAATTTTGCACAGTTTCTCGTTAAATCAAAGACCAAGTAAAATGTATATCATGAGGAAATTCACAGGATTAAAATGGTTCATGATAGGTTAAAGGAGGTTCTAATGCGATTACGACTCTGAAGCTTGGGGCTGTACACCAGGAAGCGATTTCTTAGTGATTTCTCGAGGATTACGCCTATCACGGAGTTCGTCACACGTGAAGCAGTACGTTAATTGCTCAGCCTGCTAGTTAGGCCTATTTCAATACAAGTCATCAGAGTCTGTTGGAATCGCTTTAGTGTTGAAGCGGTCTGTTAAGTGGGCCTTTTGCCGCTTGGTCGCTGGGACCATGGGTTCGAATCCCACTCAAGCCATGGATGTATTTCTGTGTTGTGCTGTCTTGTGTACAGGTAGAGGGCTTGCGACGGGCCGATCCCTCATCCAAGGAGTCCTACCGAATGTCTATAGATCAAGCCAACGAAAAGTTGGGACCCGCAGTGCTCAGGCACGGGTCGTTCCCAGTTTCCCAGTATCAAGTATGTGTCTACGCAAACCGCTCTGGCTGATTCAAAACATTCTTTGCCAGCCTCGTATTTGAAATTAAATTTCTTTTTAATAAAAATGACCTAATATTTATTCGTGACATATGTTTATTTGTTCATTATTGCTACGATTAAAGCCAGTAGTCGACAGACAACCACGTAGTCTCGCCGTCGCGAAGTCTCCACTAGCATCGCACAGCGCAGACATGTCTCTCTCTCTCTCTCTTTTACTGTGGGCAGGAGATTTATGATACGGAATTAATGCGACCGGTCGACCTGACTGCCTATTGTCTCCTGGGGTGCAGCAGACCACCGCACGCAACAACAGTCCGGGAGGCTCTGCGCCAAACTTTGATTTTAAAATTATGAAGCCAGGTTCATTTTTACTGTAAACTGTAAACTGATACAGTACATCTGAATGTGATTACGATAATGAACCTTTGGTTTTATCAAGAAGCAAGGCATTTCCTTCACCGGCTGAGAAAGCATCAGTTTTTCCGACGCTGTATCAGATACAAAAGTCAAAAAAGGGCTTCATATCTGACAAATATAATTTGAAGTAATTTAGAAGGAAGCAGTCGTGCTCTGATTTTATGTTAAAACCTACTGTCCTGACATTTGCCTGAAGGGACTGAGGAAAACCGTCAGGCAAGATTTGTCTTAGGGCCGAAATCTGAACCGAAAGCTCCAGACTACGAAGTAGGAGTTCTAACCACTTGGCCGCAATGTTCGGTGTCAACAGGTAAGTTCGTTACTTGGTAAGTTGTTGATTGAGTTCCCCAGCAGCCAAGATAGTAAATTTGGCAAGAAACCAGTAAGTTCGTAAGTTGATAATCAGGTAAAGCAGTCAGTTGTTCTATGCTCTGAGTGGTTGGCGTCACATCACAGGTACTTCGGCTTTGCTCATGGTATCGTATTCATGTCACGTCCTCACGGTTTGACTTAACAAACACATGCACGGTGGTAGCTTGGGCAGAGAGAGACAGACAGAGGGTCTCCCTGCCCTCAATGCATGTCTCTGTGGCCTTGAGAGTAACTAAGCCACCGCTGAGTACTGTACCTAAATACGTCTCAAGGTCCACATCTGCTGGAAAAACTTAGAAGCTCGGGGCCTGGAGGAAATCAGTGCCAATATTATGTTGTATAATTTGAGGTTTTCGCAGCGGGGAGTATGAAGATTTCTGTCTTCTAGGTTGTTGCGCCGTGTAGT